AAGAGGTTGATGTTTAGTACTGTTTCGTGGGGGAGCCATCTGCCCTGGATGGTGTGATGATATAGGCGAGCCCCCCGGCCTAGCAGAAGGTTTCCATGGTGAACTGCATCACTGGATTGAGCTGATGGAAGGGAACCCCAACTAGGAGACTGTCAGATGACGTCTACCATTTGAGAGAATGCAATACGCTTTTGGGAACAGAGACTACTTTGAAAAGTGGATGGCTGGACAGCTTATATACTGTTGCTAGCCAATGTTGTACGGCATGAAGGTGGAGTCGTGCTTGCTCTACAATGCAAGTACTGGAGGCCATGTGGCCCATAAGTCTGAGGCAGATAAGTATGGTAGTAGAGGTGCTCATGGAAAAGAATGGATACCAAGTCCTGCAGCACATCGAAACAGAGACATGGAAGATAAGCTTGGGCTGACAAGGAATTGAGATGGGCCCCAATAAATTCTGTCTTGAATGGGCTCTGGGGTGGACTTGTGATCATTTATAAGTAGGCCTAGACACTGAAAAAGGTGTCTGGTCCTGATGATCATATTGGTGATGTCCCCATTGGATCACCCTTTTATCAGGCAGTTGTCTAGGTACGGATAGATGATCACACCTTGCTGTCTGAGGTAAGCAGCTACCACCGGCAGGACCTTTGAAAAGACCCCAGGGGCCAAAGAAAGTTCAAAGAGGAGGACCTTTGTATTGGAAGTGGTCCTTGCCCACAGTGAATCTGAGGAAGCATCCGTGGGAGGAATGTATTGCCACGTGAAAACATGAGTCCTATAGGTTGAAGGCTGTGAACCAGTCCTCCTTGTCCAGTGCTGGGATAATAGAACCCAATGTGACCATTCTGAACTCTTGTTTTCGCAGGAACTTGTTTAAGTTGCAGAGATCCAGAATTGGTCTCCAACCCCCTATGTGTTTCTCGGTGAGGAAGTATTTGGAGTAGAAACCCCTTCCCCGAACACATCTGGGACCCTCTCTATTGCTCTGAGATGGAGGAGACAATCGTTGTCTTGCCTGAGAGGAGTCTCATGAGAGGGGTGTGACGTAGTGGGGGTAATTGCTGGGCTGTGGTGACCCCTGCTGTCTGGAGCAAGACCCAGCAGGGAAAACCTGGCTAGGCAGAGATAAGGCCAAACTGGTTGAACCAGTGGCCAGACACCCCCCATGGAGAGGAACAAAGGAAGGTGGAATGCTGCCCTGACTGCGGGGGCAGGGCTGGAGGGGAATTTAGTTAGACTGTGGAAGAGCATGGAGGAGAGCCTAGGGGAAGGGGCTGGAGTTTAGGGGCCCAGTCTCCCCCATCTCAAGGGGGCCTGAGGCATCCTAGCCCAGTTCCTGTAACCAGATTACATCTGTGCTGCGCTGTGCTGGAGGAGCAATAAACCACCCTCAATTCCACTGGCTGGTGCAGTCTGTTTGTGCCATTTCGGGGTGCAGGAGACGGGGAACCCCCAACGCGCCGTCACA